GAGGACAGACGCTGAAGTGAGAAGCCTGAGCTGAAGCCCCTGGCTGCTGAGACCTGATGGAACAGCAACTTGTTACAGAGCCAGAGCAGGACCACGCAGCCCCAGCAAGGTGAGGGACCCCTCGAGCCCCCAGTGAGGGGGGAGCACTGTGGCATTGGGCACAGCTTAGACCCCTCCAGCCCCAGCAGGCACAGGCAGCTGCCCTGACGCCCCCAGCCCAGCCTGCAGTGGGGTTCCTCCTCCCTGACTTGCATTCGTACCCGAACACCCAGTTTCCTCCTCCAGGGCAAGAACGCAGGTGCCTACCCTAAAACCCAGCGGTGGGTCCCTTCCCCAACCTTTCCCCCACCCTGCGAGCCCGGCTGTGGCCACCTCCGAAGGCAGAGAGCGCAGCACAGCAGGGGCTGCACCATCCCGTCCTGCAGACGCATTCGTGCCGGGACTCCTCTGCATCAGGATGGTCTGCGCCACTCCACCCCACTCCGTCCCCATCCCCACCCCACAAGCAGCCCTGGCATTCCCAAATCAGCCCCACCGGCCAAGCTGCACTTACCGAGCATCCACCCAGCTGGGGCTCAGGGCAAAACCAGGCCATGCTGGGGGCACAGGACAGTCACGGCTCCCAGGAGAGACTCAAGAAAAACTGCCCCAAAACCTCCACCAAGTGTTCCTGCAGGCTGGCTGCAGCTGGGATGTTCCTAGAGCAGAGGCAGCGAAGACAACGTTCATTGCAATGGATTTTTAAAAACAGAAGTCTTTATTAAAAGTTTTATCCAAATTTTGTAACAAAAGATACAAAAGGGCTGGAGATCCTTATTTCTGGGACTAGTCTGACCAATCAAAACCTGACAGTTACTAGGCTAATATAAAATCCATACAATCTGCTAAAAATGCAGGGAAAAATTAGAAGTAACTGCTGCTCTGAAATTTCTTTTAAAAATTCCTTTAACATTTATAAGTTACTCAGTTTGCATTTTACAGGACTAGTTCTTCTCCGAATGGTTACAGCTACTGTACAATGCAAGAGACAACAGCAAGAACAGAACAAAGCAACAGAAACTCGGATGTGCTGCAACACACACCACTCCTCTGAAGGAACCGCTGCGAGTCTCACCTCCGAACGCCGGGTGCCGACAGATTGCCCAGAGCAACCACCGGGAACGCCACAAAGTGCCAGTGCATCTGCACCCGTGGAGAGCCTCAACGGGAGGAACAGCAGTTACTCCCGCCCCAGCACAGCTCTCCGGCACCCAGCACTGAGCAGTTACCATCCCTTGGATGCCACGGGGCCAGTTCTCCCCAGAAGTTAAGGGATGTGCCGGCTGAACACCTCCAGGCAGAGGAAGGGTGGGCAAAGGGGTCAGAAACCCTCTGGCGGAGAGCTACACCTGGCTGAATTCCCCCCTTCCTCCTTCCAGCCACCGCAGGGTTGGGGGGGGGACACGACACGGACACACGTGCTCTGCGGCACCATCTGCGCTCCCGCAGAGCATAAACATGAGTGGGAGAGAGCTGGATTTCTGATCAATGCACTTCTCCTCATGCTGAAAAGGAAAGAGGAGGAGGATGCGTACACCAGGCTAGCGCTGAGGCAACTGTCCAGAGCTGGAACTGGCTAGCAGAAGGACCCTGAGAATATATAGGCTAACACAGTCTCCCGGGGAACGCCGAGTTAGGTGCATCACAGTGATACTGGTTGAACGTGTTCTGTACAGTGCGAAATGGAGTTTGACAGAAGTGCAGTATCCCTTAACCTGCTATTTCCTATCTCTTCCTAAAGGCAGAGGCTGCTACGGGGTGACGAGAAGCCTCATCACAGCAAAGAGGCTCACAGCCGCAAAAATCAGACTTACTTGGACATCCAAGCGAAAGTTATTAGGTGGCCACCAGGAAAAATATTCCAGTTTATAAAAAAATAGGAAAGCAAGTGCAGGGCTACTGCAAGGTGCATCGTCAGAGGTACCAGGTCTTGCAAGCAGCCAACCCCCCCTCCCCAAGACCCCAGGCACCCCACATCCCCAGCACTAAAGTATCTTCAAGCGTCTCCAGAGATCACATCACCATTATATCTGATCAGAGAGACCTCAGCGATCGTTCGCTTTGAGTCCATTTAGACGAACCAGATTTGCACCCACTGCTCAAGATGGCTCAAGCGTCTTCAGAAAGCTGGTCTGAGGGCATGCGGATAGCAAACACGCCTTCTTTGCTGTCAGGCAGGGTGGCGAGCTGGAGCTCTGGGTCCAGTGTGGCAAGGCTGATTTCAGACACGAAAGATACCCTAGGAGGAAATTTTTTTCTTTTTTTCTTTTTTTTTTTTCCTTTTTTTTTTTTTTCTTTTTTTTTTTGCAAACTGCTGCACAAACCACAGAACGGAGAAAGCCTTTGGTCATGAGACACTTGTGAGAAAGTGAGCCTTGTATGGAAGATTCCCCTGAATGCCTACAGTGTTATACATCTTAAAAAAATATATTGTGGACACTGCAGCCATACAAAGGGGGGAGGAGTGGGAGACGGGGATTTACAGTCTCACATAGACACAACGGGGAGGTTAAGACAAGCACAGTCATAGTCTGTAAAACTGATTGGCTCGCTCGGATCAGTCATCCTCATCGTCCTCTTCGTCTTCTGGATCTTCCTCTCCTTCATCCTCTAGATTTCGTTTTCTCTTTTCCCCTCGCGGAAGGTCTGCAAAAAGAGGCGAAGCGTGAAGCTCTGTTCAGTCTTGCAGAACAGCATTTGAACTGTGGCTTCAAGCCGCGTCAGCCACAGCTTGCTGGTGAACAAGCACAGACTAGACTGGCACCATTACGGAGCGGAGATCCACCCTGCCCAGTTTCTCATGGCACCCTGAAAAGCCCGCACTATCACAAGAGTAACTATTTTCTATGCTCTCCAAGCATCCCACATTTCAACAGCCGCTTGAGAACGGGCTTTTTTGTAGAGCACCCCCAAAAACGTAGCATCTGCAGAATTCAGTCACTTCTGACCGAGCTCATACAAGATCATTTGAAGTCACGCCAGCCGCTATATCCTGTCATCATTCATTCATATAGTTTGTTACAACCAGAGGAGTCTGGACTCAAGTCAAGAAGCTCGGGTCTTCCCTCCTCTCCACAGCTGAGAGGAGAGGAACGTGTCTCCAAGAGCATTTCCTCACGCACACTGCTAACACGAGCTTCTGTGACAGAAGCCCTGCTCCCGCACCGACTACCAGTTCAAGCTACTTAGAATCGGTTTTCTAGGCAATTTGCTTCTTTAATATTTGGCAGGCTTACCCAGCTTGGTTGGTATTAGAAGGTACTGAAACCTGTTTCCCCATCACCGCTGTGTGACCCTTTGGTTATAACCACCATTCAACAGTCAGCTGAGGCATAAGCAACAGCTTCAGCGGTGCCCGTAAGCCGAAACGCTGCACTTTCTACCAGGGAAAAGCTGCAGGCAACAACAGCACTGAATCTTGGGAAGCTCTACAAAACCAGCGAACGTGTGAGACTGTTGAGGCAGCTTCGCAAGCACTTAGTTTGTTAGGATTCGACTCACCATCATCAGCTTCATCTTCTTCATCATCCTCACCATCTTCCTCCTCATCTTCCTCCTGGAGTCAAAACAAGACGCTTTGTTGCAAGAACCACAATCCCATGAGCAAGGTGTAATTCCACAGCAACATCTTCCTTCACCTCTGCTCCCACCCTACTCTACCCTCAGGGTGGCAGGTACAAGCCGAGCAGGGAGAAGCTGTCGGTTCCTAAACAGCTTCTTGCATCCCCGCGACGGAGGCCGTGTGGCTTTGTCACTTGAAGCCACAGGAAGTACCAGGCCAAGCAATAAACAAGTCTGAACTGGCAAACTCTGTGGACCACGAGTCAAAAGGTGTATGGGAAAAGCCAGAGCGCACGACGGCACTCCTCAGATCTGCCCACAAAGAGGCACCTGTGACATCTGGTCAGATGGGTCACCAGATCAAAGGACAAACGCACTACCAGACATAGCAACGTGGCGCTGCAGATTTGTACCGATGACAGAAAGCCTCACCTCATCATCTACTCCGTCCTCCTCTTCTTCACCTTCCAGATCATCATCTTCGTCTTCTTCATCATCAATGACTTCTTCATCCAAATCATCTTCCTCATCATCATCATCCTCTTCCTCACCTTCTACCAAAAGGAGAGGGAGGTAAGTGTTACGGTTCCCAAATACTCGCTACTCCCAGACAACATGCTCGCACCTCCAACCCCAGTGCTACATGAGCAATGGGCGGGAAATCACACAACAAGCACGCACGAGGAGCGCCAGCAACAAGCCCCGTCAGCTTGCAGCAAGTCTCACTTCTTAGGCAGCCTGCCAAAGGAGGGAGTGGGGTTACCCAGACAGCCCCTACTTTAGCGGCAAGTTATAATCACCATTTATTTAGCAACGTGACCATGCAGAAGGGAAAAAGGGGTTGTTCCCCAGCAAGAAAACCAAGAGGAGAAAGTCCTCACCTTCCCCATTCTCATACTCATCTTCCAGTCCATCCCCGTCTGCTTCAGGGTCTGAGTCGGGGGCTTCCTGGTCATCAGCATCAAATCCGTCTAGGTAGGTGAGCTGGGGCAGGAGGGTGAACACGCTCTCCCGGTAGTTGATGAGCATCGTCACCTCACAGTTGAAGAGGTCCAGACTATGCAGGTTTGGCAACTTTTTCTGCAAAGATCAATTCGTTAGATTATTTACAAGTTGGCACCGTTTGAAGATCAGGCAGCCATCAGAGGACAGATGGTTTGCTACCCAGATCTAGTACAGAAGTGTCTTTGCATGCATTATTTGCACCATGTGCTCCTCAGATGGAGAGGAGTTACTGCTCTCGCTAACTGTAGGCAAAGAAGGCTTCTTTTCAGCTCCTCTGTCCTAGTTTCCCCTCCTTGGAGCCAGCTCCCTGTGAAACCATTCGCAAATTTACTCCCTTCTGAATGGGATGGGCAACAAGGACAGAAAGCCCAGCTCCCCCAGCAGGAGGGATCACTGAGCCGGACTCATCCTGCCCAAAACGTGAGGCAAAATACCCGAGAGCACAACGCAGGGAGACCAAAGCACAGTGCCTGCAGACTGCACCCCGTGTGCCTTTCAGCACAGCCACAGCGGCTCTCCCGGTCAGGCCATCGCACCGTGTACCAGGTCAAGCGAAGGAGGAGTAAAACAGTTTCTAGCTCTTTCTGGAGGGGATGGAGGGACCAAAGACGACAGCCAACGAGGCAAATGCCCCAGATCAGACCTTTCAGCCACAGAGACAGGATCACAAGGCAAGAGCCTTCTTTGGGGCAGTTCAGATGCAAGGGGAAGCCCCTGCAACGCATGCTGTCACAGCACCCAAGGCGAGAGGGTCCCAGCCCAGCACAACAGCACCTTTGGACTGATGCAATGCACACCCTCACTGGTGTCCAAGCAACTCATCTCCATGACACCCCAGGTGCCACCTACCTCAAACTGCATCCGACCCATTAACGGTCCTTTCTCAGATGGACACTGAGCACTGCCATCCACAGTTTTACTCATCCAGCCCAATTTCATGCTTCTTTTAGCAACTGGCTGCTGGTTTTCCAGACAGAGGAGCCATTAACTATTAGCCCAGCCTCAAATTGGACCCACTCATCTGTTCCCATCAGAACCACGAAGTGCTGTTGGAACAGTTACCAAGACGTTGGACTTCTGCTGCACAGACACGCTCCCCAAAGGAAACAACGTCATCCCTTAGATTCCAGCACAGCCTTCCACTCACCAAGGGCTCCAGGGTATTGATGTCTTTGATCTTGTTGCCGCTTAGATTCAAGTGTGTCAGGTTAGGAGTTCTCTCTGCTAGAACTTCAAGGCCACCAGAAATCCTGTTATCACTCAGCTCCAGCTGCCAGAAGGGAATATCAGATGGTCACAAAGTGTCTCGGCTTGCGACATGGGGAATAAAATTGCCCTGAGAACTGGGCTACAATGGGCACCCAAGTTCCAGACCCTGTTCGTTAGACCATGCCGTAGAGCAGCAGTTCAAGTTTTCACTTGAAACCCCTTTCCTGCAGTAACGCAGCACTCCCAGCCACCTCCGTACTGCAGGACACAGGGGTACATGTCCTCTTAGCTGTAACCGCGTGTTCTAAAATCCAAAATATTTATGATGTTACTGAAGCTTCTGACAGAAGCACAACAGCAAAAGCGAGAGAAAGGACACTAAACATACAACGAGCTCAAAAGCATTTTGTTGCATACTAAAAAACCACCTCTCTCACTTGCTCAGGTTGTAGGCTGCAGCGGAAGAAGCAAAATCAAATGGCCTTTTTCTGGCAAATGCAGGAAAAACAACTGTCACCAGGGACAGGATAGCAGAAGTCTCAGAGCAAGGACTGCGGGAGATGGGACCACAGGTCTGACTCACCTTCCGGAGTTTGTTAAGTTTGGGGAGATTGGAGACGGACAGCAAGTTGATGTTGATCATGCTGAGGAACTCCAGGTTCTCGAAATCTGAAGAGAGCCCAACGATCTTCCCATCGTCCGAACGGCAGTTATCAAGAACCAGCTCCTTCACCTGCCAACAGAGACACCCAGCAGCTGTCATCACACCCAGCTAAGTCTCACCTTGAGTCTGCCAAGCTGGCATCAGGTGGAGTGACCGACACTTCAAAGCAGCAGGTGTGTCTGAAGGTCCTCCTTACTCACATTAAGGGACACGCAAGATCTTAAAGCCAAATAACTTTTGCGAGGGTACAAGGTGAGAATCCCTCACGGTGGTTAGGACTTCACCCTTTAAGCACGAGCCATGCAACATGTGACTGCTGCACCACCCCACACCCTGTGGCTCCAACCAAGGTCCACCTTCTCCACTAAGAAGCATTAAGGGGTTGAACCATGAGGTTCCATCAAAACGTTTCACGCACAAGGCATCAAAAAGCTTTCAGTCGCACTTCAGGCTTCACTAACAAGAGGCCAAACAAGGTCATCTGGTTCTGTCCCCTTCAACTTTCTCCCCCACGCCACTGGGGTGCTGGAAAACCTGCCTCCAGAGGATTCATTTCCTCTGTGACAGTCTGCATGCAGAGGTGACACATCTGCCTAGGCAGGCCTCTAAGCAGATGAGCTCAACCTCAGGCTCGTAGCGCACGACCACTGATGGCATCTAATATTTTGCCCAGCACAGACTACACACACAGAAGCCATCGCTACCCGGCAATTCAGCACAGAAATCAACCCCCCTGTGGCATTAGGACCATGAAGCACCAGCACAGAACTGCTTCCCCCCCTAAACACCTGGAGGGCAAACACACCTGGCATCCCCTTCTCCCCCAACGCGCAGGTGAGTGCTCAAGCCCCAGCTCTCACAGGCCACTTCCAAAACTTGCTTTTACCCCACACGTTCTTCACAGCAAGATGCAAAAATCAGCCTTGGCCAGAAGGCTCATGATGCTCTCCAAATTCCTCCTTCACAGTGCTCCCATTTTCCTTCTCTTGCTCAGATCAGCCAACTATTAGGGAGTCATTTTAAAACCACTTTGCCTTACTGGGAGCAAAGTTTCAGAGCTGCCGTGCCATCTTCGCAGCACAAGCTCCGAACGAATTAACGCTTAAAACTCCAGAAGTGGCATCGCTGGTCAGGGCTCCGAGTTGAGCAGCAAACAGGCTCAGCCAGGAGTTTTGTAGCTGAGCTCATTTTGCTCCCAACACCCCAGACAAGCCTCCAACCGAACCGAGACTCTGTCACCACGGTGGGTGTAAAGGTGGCCAAAGCCAGCCCTCCGCCGCTGTCGCTTTGTTGGTGCGGGCACAGAGGCGAGCCTGAACGTTACCAGGTTATGAACTAACCTGGCCGAGACCAGCTTTAACCCGGAGCGGACCCTTGCCCTGGATCGCAGAGCAAGCACTGCAGCAGGACGAAGCAGCCAGGATGGCTTCTTCCAGCAGCGACGCTGCCTCGCACCGGCTTTGGTCCCAGGGCACGCACGCTCTGACCCTGCTCGCCTCTGCAGCGTGCCAATCGCTCAAATTCCTGGTGTCAAACTAGAGGAGACCCGCAACTTGCAGCCTCAGAGGGACGCTTCTACTCCTCAAATTGTTCTCGTCCTGCAAATCCCTTTGCCATCCACAAAGCATCTTTAATCTCTACCAAAAGCTCCGCTTACAACCCATTTTCCTCACGCTTGATTTTAAGCTGCCCACAGCCGCACGCTGCCACGACACGGCGACCTGTCCCCAAGCCGAGTGACAGCCGGCAGCTATCTCACTGCAAGGCGGCGAGCGGGGCTGCCAGCCCGGCCCAGATAAGGGGCGGCCGCCTTTCCAAAGCCGAGCCGGCTCCGGGAGCGCAGGCCCGAAGGACGAAGCGAAAGGCTTCGAGAGGGTGCGAAGCCCTGGGCC